TTTAGAAGCACAACTTTAAATACTTTCTCATATAATGAACGTTCCTATGAAAATCTTTAGAATGAAAACCACTAACAGATGAACGTTTTATAATTTACAACGGTATCTAAAATTATTGTGATTTCTTAGAATAATAACCAAATTTTCTAGAATTAACTTGAGAGAGTTTGAAACTTGTTCAGTTCATTTGACGTGACACATCAAAACATTATTTAAGCACCAAGTTTGTATTCACACAAAGTGGCCTCAAATGATTTTTATGTATTATAAATGTTTGTATTTTCACGATTGAATTAAATTAGGCAATAAAATTAATTAAAATGACATTACTTACAAGGAAAGTGCGACCGAACATTGGTTGCAATTAACTTGATCAATGAGGCGAAAATATATTTGGAACTTTCCTCACTTCAATATATCGGTGCTGTAAGGAATCCAATGAGATGAAGAATGGTCAGGATATTTATGAACTGATTCAATGGATATATATTTTTGGTAAAATTAAACCAATCACATTAACTTATTTATATACAAGTCATGTAATTGTTTACTTTGCTCTACCTACTCATTGAGCATATTAAAACGTTTAATTTTTGTTAAGAATGCCACAGGTACATTTACATGGGTATTGGTGAGTTAAAAATACACATTCCATTAATCACAAATTGAACAGAGATAGTTTCTTAGATGGGCGAATATTCATCTTTTGAACATAAGAAGGAAACAAATTCCTTTAATTTGGGCTTCAAAAATGCAGTTGGATACGATTGAGTTGTACAAAGATACACATATAAAATCACCATTTGCATATTTACGTTTGCAGATAACCGTCCAAACCATGGATTTGTTACCTAAGATCAACCTTTTGTTAAATTACATAATTAATTCCAACAATAATCAAATAATATAATAATAATATATAACCATAATCAATAATGTATAACATTAAGTCCAAGATCGGTCTCGCTTGGAATCAAAACAATGACCTTCAGGTTTGAAGGTAAAAAATCGTTGTATAGCACGTGTCTTTTATTGATCTACCGCCCAACCTATCCCATGCGGGCTTCAATAGACGGTTACTCTTACAATAGGCTCAGGTTAGACTTCCACCATACATCATAGAAATAAAAAAAAATATTTCACCTCTAGTGGAACTAAAATTGTTTATTGTGCTTTAAACTTATCATAGGGTGCAAACTAGTCAGAGTATCGCGAAATATGTTTTACTGACAATGAAATATTTTATTAACTAATCTTATGAGATTAAAATTTCGAAATCAACAGAGTAAAATAATATTTGCACAATGGTTAAAATGTTCTCGTTGGTTTAACGTAGCGTAAACTTTAAATCCAACCAGGTGAAATGAAATGATAACAATTTTGTATTCTTCGGAACAGGTCTGAAACATTCAAACTCAACTGAATCGGAACAATGGTTTAAGCACTGTGCGGGTAAAACTCTAGGAGCGATTTCATCTACTTACTGACGTACATTTAGACAACCAAAAATAGATGTTAAATCAATTAGGGAAATGGGGGAATGCTCTCACACACACTAGTGGCCAGCCTGAATTCTGAGAATGTATAAAAATATAAGTACCAAAATATTACAGTGCGATAAACAAAAGCACCTTCTAAATGAAAAATATTCATCTCATTGGACAATGTCCGTGATGTGATATCATTCGGAAGAATTCTATTGAAGAAACATCATTAGTGGAATTGATGTCGATATTTTCATATGAAAATGAAGGTCTGCAATACTTGCATTATAACTTGTTCCCGATGTTATTTCGTGGAAGGATGGTGATAATAAATGTTTTTAGACCGTTTTGAACGGGGATTGTTCTCTAAGAGCAATACAGTGGACTGGAAAATTCTAGTAAATAATAATTGTCATCCACAATCATAATTTATTTTCCGATGTCATTTAGAAACTCGACCCCCTCCCGCTCACCTCACAAAGCCTGAGGCCTAAAGGGTAGCAGTTTATTGGGAACACAACTCATTACATATTTTGTTCAGCAAAAGTTTTTACCTTCCAACAAAATATATTCATGGAACTGTCGTGGCTTGGCAACCCACCAAGCTTACAAAACTTGTTGTCCATTAATCGTCAAAATTTGTCAACAAATTTCGCCCCTAAACAAGAGACTAAGTTGCAAGAGAATCAATTCGACATCGATTGGAGATTTGACAAACGTAGCAGAAGGGTATACTGTAACACTCCTTGAGTTATGAGTAAAAGAAATTGCTACACCTTTCAGAAACGTGTTCCCCAGAAAACATGAGTCACAAATTTCGATTCTTAAACTTCAAATAGTCCACACCAAAATATAATAATTGAATAGCTCCTAAGTGGTTTGTGGTAGGCACTTATAATGTAACAGATTATCTGTCAGAAAATAGTGACTGCATCAAGAAAGATAAAAGTACCAAGAGGATCAATTCGACAAGCAGAAGGATATGATATAAGACTCGTGGACATCTGAAATATCAGCCACGTGCCTAGGTCGTTACAGACAATTGACAATGGTGAACGTCTAAACTGATAAAGAAATATTGTTTTGTCCACTGTCGTACTATGCATTAAAGTTAATTATTAATTTAAACACTCCAACATTCATTTTAAAGTTTCGCTAAAAGACTGGAATTTATCACTGGAAAACTGTTATTTTTTTTTACTTGGTGTCATATGTTTGGATTGTTATAAAAAATTTAAATCTAGTTTTTTTTATTTGTTAAGAGAACATTAGCTCATTTTGTGTTGTATTAAATGCTTCAACTTGAACAAACATAAGTATTTGAAGTCATTAACTTAAAAGAGCGCCCATTGGAAAGAGGGCGAGAACCGCCGAGGTTGTTGTTTCTTCATGCTATCACTAACATGCACAGGCAACTGAAATAATTATTCACATAAAAACAAACACACTAAAGATTTATTATTTCTTAAACAATAATAACTTTAATAATAATAAGTAATGTAACGAGTTTTATATTACTGCAGGGTGGGGAAACGGTTAGTTACAGACTAATATGTGTAAGATTGCCAATCTTCTGCGCGTCTCGAGATCGGGTAAGATATGGACCAAATCACACAACACCTTCCTTCTGTACGAATTTCTTAAATAATTCGGATTGATATTAAAATCCATGCTCAAAGGCAGGTCGGTTGCAAAAAAACAATAGCCAAACACATTTGAGTGAAAATGTAAATACAGTGTGCTATATTTAATGAGAAACCTCAAATAACTGTTAAAGGAAGAAAATTAAATAGGGGAGGAAATTGGGTGGGTTTGCATAGAATCTGACCGTTTCCCTAAACTAATATAAATCCAAAGCTCCCTTTATCCTAGATTTCTGTAAGTGTTTGTTGGAGCTTTCTATGTGTCAAGGATATTAGAACAGACGGTATGGATACTTAAACATACAAAATTACGTCACTAGACCAAACATATGTTAATAACCATAAAAGCAGGTTTGGATGTTTTTTGACAGTTAGTAGTAAGGAGATGCGGGTTCCGGAACATGAACCCTGGATGAACACCCCCCTGTCAGCCCCCGGTTTATCCCGGGATGAACACCCTCCTGTTCATCACGGGAAGAACACAGTCCTGTTCATCACGGGATGAACACACCCATGTTTATCACGGGATGAACACACCCATGTTTATCACGGGATGAACATACCCATGTTCATCATGGGATGAACATACCCCTGTTCATCACGGGATGAACACACCCATGTTTATCACGGGATGAACACACCCATGTTTATCACGGGATGAACATACCTATGTTTATCACGGGATGAACATACCCATGTTTATCACGAGATGAACATGCCCATGTTCATCCCAGGATGAACAGAGCGGTGTACACCGCGTGAACGGCAAAACCCATGCGGGTTCCAGCACAATGTATTTGTCATGCGCTAAATATTCAGCACGCGCAACACTCTCGGCTGTGAGTCCTTGCTCATTAGTATGCTTCTCATGTAAACTTGTTTGTGCATATAACGTGAAACATGTTCAAGAGGAATTCAGTGCAACTTTGTAGTCTTGTTATGTGTGTTAGTTTATTTTTGATTTAAAATGATATTTACGATAGAGGGAAATATCGGAGCTGGGAAAAGTGTATATGCAAAATCTCTATGTAATATTTTACAATCTTCTGGTTTCAATGTAATACATATCGAAGAACCTGTCAACGATTGGATAAATTTTAATGGACATAATTTGTTGAAACTTTTCTATGAAGACATTAAAAGATGGGCTTTCACGTTTCAAGTTAACGCTTTATTTAATGTGAAACAATTAGAGTTGAAAGCGATTAAACATTCTCAAAATAAATGCGTTGTTATAATGGAAAGATCTTCATTAAGCGTATTTGAGATATTCTGCAAACATCTGGCTGCTACGGTGTTCCATCCCATAGAAACAACAATCATAGAAAATATAAAATCTCAAATTTCAAAAGATTTGGATGAATATGAACAACACAAAGTGGTTTATCTTAAAACACCACCAGAAGTATGTATGCAGCGAATTGCTCACAGATCACGTGAGGAGGAAACTGAAAGAATTGATTCAAATTATATCGAACAATTGCATATCCTTCATGAGAACACTTTAACCAACAGTCAAAATGAGAAACTATTGATAATTGATGGAAATTCATATGATGAAGATTGTATAGATAAGGCAAAAATGTTTGGCTATGAATCATTAGATGCTCTAGACATTTTGCACAATATATTAGCTAACTGGCAAACAAACAGTAAAGGAGATTAATAAAACAGTTGTTTTTTTGTAAATAGTTGTGTAAATTTATTGTTTGAAACGTTGTTTGTTATGCCGCGGTGTTGTATTAAACTTTTGATCACGCTCCAACCTTCAATCACACTCAACCTCGCTCCTTTTTGAGAAGCAAACATTTACATTTCCAATTAGCAACTATAAGAAGGCGTTGTGCCATCGCTTCTACAGACACAACCTGCTTCGCAGTTGACCACTCGTCTCTCTCCGCTCTGATCATCATCATTTCCTAACGTGAGTAGTTAATTTATTTTTCATTTATTTATTAAAAGAAAACATTATGGAATTGATTTTATTTTAAATTTAAACAAAATATTGACCAGATTTTATTATTTGAATTTAATAGAAAAAATTTATTATAACATAACCCTTTTCACTCCACAGTTCATTGCAGAGCATATAATTGATTGAAAACATTATATTAACAAATTATATAAAACAGAACTGTACTCCAACGCTAGTTTTATTTATTTAAATTAACTGATAACAGTCTTTTAATTGGCTATATCAGTAAGACCACACTCCAATCTCAGTTTTATTTATTTTAAATAAACTGATAACAGTCTTTTAATTGGCTATATCAACAAGACCACACTCCAATCTCAGTTTTATTTATTTTAAATTAACTGATAACAGTCTATTAATTGGCTATATCATCAAGTCAACACTCCAATGTTAATTTTATTTATTTTAAATTAACTGATTATATCAACAGGACTACACTCTTACGTTAGTTTTATTAATTGAAATTAAATCTAGTTTTTGTATTTTTTGTAGCATCAGTTCGTGAACAGCAAACGAGCTCCAACACAGTCAACTATCTCACGAGTCTCTCCATTTGCGGTGAAAGCCATCAGCCTGTTTGTCGTCGAAACAAAGTGAGTTAACTAATTTGTTGTGTGACAACAATAAAATCTTTAAATTTGCAATTTAACTTTTTTAATTTCTATCAAAAAAAATCAAAGATATATCCGTGACTTAAGTCATTAAACAAATTATATTTAACTAAACAATTGCATAGCAACTATGTAAAATTAAACATAGCAATGAGTTTTAAAATAATAGTTTGCGATTGACTTTCCTTTAATTTATACTAATTTTTATTTTAAAAAATACGCTTTATTTACACACTATCCTCTTTTTTTATAGTAATGGACTCTGTTGGCGTAAACACACAAAGAGATGACGATGTGGTAGAAATAACAGTACCCTTCTCCGAGCAACCATCAACATCCCAGGCGTCAACAACTAACTTGGGTATAACATTCTTTACGATATTACAAATATTAGAAAACCTACACATCATTGGATTATCTAGTTTGAACAAATGGGAGCGAGTGATTGAGGAGTTGCAGAACTCTCAAGAATTGTTGAATGACCCTGTTCTAGTACAACTGTTTTTTTGTTTGAAACATTTCTACAAAATTTTTTTCACACATGTCAACTGTGACACTTCATTGTCACAAAATCAAGTAGAGCAAATCCGTTTCACCGACTTGGATTTTGAAGACTTGATGAAAATATTCAAGCCGGAATTAGAAAAAAAACCGTTTAATGAAAAAGCTTTCTCATTTAACACGGTGCAAAAAATTGCTTCGATAATTCGCAAAGTGTTAAATTATCAACATAAAGCAATCACTAAGACTATTCAAAACCCAGTAAAACGCACACAATTAGAAATAGATTTTGATGAAAAAAACAAAAAGAAGTTTAAGAGCGGTGATGATAAACATAGTTCAAGTTCCTCAGACTCCTCATCTGAGGATGATGATACGGACAGTGAGGACAATTTCGCTAAATTATTTAAGAAGAAACAGAGTAATTCATTGAAAATTAGTCAACTCTTTCAATACAACACCGGAAATTTGAGAAGGAAAATTACAACCCCAGGAGAAAAGGGCAACCATCTCATAAAGATAGAAATAACAGACACAAAAGACCTTAAGTCTTGTCGCAGTGAAAAGTTCTACTGGCAAAAGATAAACAAGAAAGGTTATTTTTTACTTAACACCAATGATAAAGAAGATCAGGACACATTAGACCAGTTAGTTAATATTTTGGCTAGGATAGGCACTAAGGTATCCAAAATCAAAAATGCTAAATTCGAGTCGTTTGAAGCAAACGACAATAAGAAATAAAAACATTGTATTGTAACAAACAAAACTTGTTTTTTATATCTTTAAAATGCTATTGAATTTTTTTGTTTTTTTCAGTGACAACAAAATTACAATTCATTAAATTAAGTGAAAATGGATTTGCACCCCATCGTGCTACACCCTATGCAGCTGGCTATGATTTGCATAGTGCATACAATTATAATTTATTGAAAAAAAGTAAAATATTAGTTAAAACAGACATCGCCATTAAATTACCCCCCAACTGCTATGGTAGGATAGGTAGTAGGTCTGGACTGGCTTTAAAGCACTCGGTTGTTGTAGCAGCGGGAATTATTGATCCGGATTATACAGGCAATTTATGCGTAATGCTTTTCAATCATTCAAACACTGATTTTACCATTAACAAAGGAGACAGGATTGCCCAGCTAATTTGTGAGGTTGCTTTGTTTCCCGAGGTGGTTGAGGTATTGAAATTGGATGAAACAAAACGTGGTGCCGCCGGATTTGGGTCCACGGGGATTGTGTAAATAAAGCGGATTTTTTTTTCAAAATTATTTTGTTAACAAATTATTAAAATTACTTTATATATTTTTTCAGACTGTAGACAACACTAGTTATGGATTCACCGCCAAAACCACTTGTTACACCCGTTCCAATGGAAACTGATCAAACAAGTTCAAAATCAACCAAATTTAGAAAAGAAAATCGGCTATCATTACGTCCAACAGGAGACTTTATAGAAATTAAAAGCGCTTTCGGTGGTGCCTTGAAAACATACTACTATAGAAATATAAACGTCAGCTTTAAGGACATATGTCTAATTTTAGTGAGCATTAAAGAAAAGATAAAGAATTTGATAAAAAACTATCTAAACATGTTCGGACCACTTAAATTTAATTTGATGGTAGAATGCACATATTACAAAATGTTAACAGAGGAACAGCAAGCTAGAGCATTTAAAACCTTGAATTACACCGTTTTATCAAGCACATCGTTGGACAGTATTTTACGTAAATTATTTCAAAAAATTTGTATTGAAGAAAGCGAGCAACAAAGTAAAGGGAGTGGTTGGTCACTCTATAAAGTAGATGGCGTTATGGTGAGATTCAGTCGTTTTAAACCATTAGGTGGAAAATCTTATATCCCACTTCCAAGAAGCGTGCAATTAAAGATGGCCATAATAAATCCTAAAAATATTGCAGACACAGAGTGTTTCAAGTGGGCTCTCTTATCTCGTTATGTTAAAGGTAGAATGGTGTGTAGAATAGACAATAGATATAGAGATTTAGAAGACAGATTTGATTTCACTTGTATTAATTTTCCAGTTGCGTTAAAAGATATTAGTAAATTTGAAAAACATAATCCTACAGTTAGTGTGAATGTATATGGTTTAAATGATAAAAATGATGTGTATCCTCTTAGGATATGTAAGAGAGTAAAAGACGAACATTTTGATTTATTATTAATAACAAATGCTGAAGGCAATAGTCATTATTGTTATATTAAGAATTTTTCCAGATTACTTAGCAGTCAAATATCAAAAACTAAGAGGGCAACTGTGTTTTGCCGCAGATGTCTTACACACTTCCATAAGAAATCTAATTTAACATTTCACGAACAAAATTGTTCTGTAAATAAAGCTGTAAAAGTAAAAATGGCAGAAAACAAAAATAATCCTGTTGTTCCAAAAATTCTAAAATTTGCTGATTATCATCATAAATATAGATTGCCCATCGTCGCTTATGGCGATTTTGAGTGTATTCTTAATAAGGTAGATATTAAGAAGACTACATACACAACTATAGAACAACAACACGAACCTTGCAGTTTTTGTGTCTATCTTGTAATTGATGATGATCTACCAGATTTTATTAAAAACAAACTACCAAAACAACCATATTTGTTTAGAGGAGAAAATGCATCTTCCGTGTTCATGGACTATATAATAAATTTAGCAAATTTGATTGGCGAATTGTTTGATAAAAATGTGCCTATGTTACCACTCACCGATGAAGATAAAGTGAAAATAAGTAATTGTAAATTTTGTGAGCTATGTAATGTCGAGTTTTCTGCAATGTGTTTACCTATTAGAGATCATTGCCATTTGTCAGGAAAGTTTAGATCTGTATTATGCAATAATTGTAATTTAAAAAGACAAGATCAAAAGTTTTTACCCATTTTTCTACACGGATCCTCCAATTATGATTCACACTTTCTTGTTAAACAATTAGGTTGTGATAAAGAGAGAGTTATTGTAATTCCAAATTCTAATGAGAAATATATTTCATTTATTAAAAATACTAAAAGTAATATTAAAATAAAATTTTTGGATAGCTACCGCTTTTTAGGCGAGAGCTTGGATACGCTAGTGAAAAATTTACCCGATGACATGTTTAAACACTTGGATAGATTTTTTGTCGAAGATGAACGCCCTTTAGTGAGACAAAAAGGTGTATACCCCTATTCATATACAGATTCTTGGGCTAAACTAGATGAAACCAAACTGCCCGACAAAGAAAGTTTTTACAATGAAATGACTGAATCTCACGTGTCAGAGAAGGATTATGAACGCGCTCAATTGGTCTGGAATAAATTTAAATGCACCACTTTAGGTGATTACAGCGATTTATATCTTCGCACAGATGTCCTTCTTCTGTGCGATGTTTTTGAGAATTTTAGAAACATCTGTTTAACTAATTACGAGTTAGATCCTGTTTATTATATGACTGTGCCGAGCCTTACTTTTTCAGCAATGTTAAAATATACTAAGGTGGAATTAGAATTGTTTAACGATTATGAAAAATATCTGTTTATTGAAAACAACATTCGCGGTGGCATCACAATGTGTGTGAAACGTCATGCGGTGGCGAACAACCCCTATATGGGTACACATTATAATCCTTCCGCTGACACGTCTTATTTAACTTATCTAGACTGTAATAACATGTATGGGTTTTCCATGTGTGAACCCATGCCGGAAAAGGAATTTAAATGGTTGAGTCATAAAAGGGTTCAAAATTTTGATGTATTATCAATACCAGATGATGGACCCTATGGCTACATTATCGAGTGTGATGTTGGTTATCCGTCATATCTACACGATTCACATGCAGACCTTCCGTTTTTGTCAGTAAAAAAATGTCCGGAATGGTCAAAACAGGAAAAATTGTTAAATACGTTAGAAAATAAATACAACTATGTGTGTCATTTTCGTACGTTAAAACAAGCGCTACAAAACGGATTGGTTCTGATAAAAGTTCACAGAGTCTTAAAGTTTTGCCAACGTGCTTGGTTGAAACCCTATATAGACCTAAACACAGAAAAAAGAAAAGCAGCTAAAAATGAGTTTGAGAAAAACTTTTATAAATTATTAAATAACGCGATGTTTGGTAAGACAATTGAGAATGTTCGCAAACGAGTGAACATTGAACTTGTGACAAATGAAAAACGGCTTAACAAATTGATCACTAAGCCTAATTTTAAAAATAGAATTATTTACGGTGATAATTTGTGTGCTGTTGAATTGGAAAAAGACACAATAGTCTTGGATAAGCCCATATATGTGGGGTTTACTGTGCTCGAACTCAGTAAACATCATATGTATGACTTTCACTATAGAATCATGAAAAACATGTTTAAAAATAAAATGTTTAAACTATTATATGTCGATACCGACAGTTTTTTTTATCAGATATTTACAGACGATTTGTACTCGGATTTTAATAGACCAGAGTTTAAGAAACACCTAGACATGTCTGACTATCCGCCTGATCATGTTTGTTATTCAATTGAAAACAAAAAGAAATTAGGCCTCTTTAAAGATGAGGCAAATGGCGTTGTGATAATTGAGTTTATCGGTCTCCGACCAAAGCTGTATACTTTTAAAACATTAAATGATTTTTATTTGGAAGTAAACAAAAATATGTCACTGAAAAAAGCAAAAGGTATCACTAAAACTGTAGTAAAAAATCACATAACCTTTGATGATTATAAGCGGTGTCTCTATGATAAATCTAAAATCAGGAGGAACATTAGATTGTTTCAGTCTAAAAAACATTGTGTTCAAACAGTTACAGTGAATAAAATTGCACTCAGTTGTAATGATGATAAAAGAGTTATATGTGAAAATAACATTGAGACACTGCCTTATGGTCATATTCGTTTAAAGAATAGAAAGTTTGTTGTAAAAGATGGTATTATTAAATATTTGTAATTCCCTTCAATGCTAACAACTTGTCACACCTTGTATATTTGTAATTCTTTTCAATGTATTCACAATAATTTGTTATTGTTAACAATTGTTTTGCAACTTCTATATTCATTTTGTACCTTGTCAGGTATATGTTTGTAATATTTTTTTCAATGTATTGCTTTAATAACTGTTTGCTACCTTGTTAGGTATATATACTGTGCATGATGTGTTGGGAAAATGATGATGATAATTGTAAATAAAAGTCAACTGTTTGAAAAAACCCTGTGTTTCTTTATTTATAACCTTTAGATATTACATTATTTTTTTTACAATACCAGACAATGGTGAATATTGAACCAAAGCATCATAGATAATTAAACAATATGCTGCTGTGTCATTTGGAAATTCCTTGGTGGTTTGCAGCTCAACCCTCACATCCAGAGTGCCAGTCTTTAAAGTGTCCACTTGTTTAGAACAATCGATAACGAAAAATGGTGCTTTTGATAGAAAAACACTTTTATTTAAACATGGTTGATCTTCGCTTCCTGCATAGTAAGACGATTGAAATCTTGAATACAGTTCATACAGTAATGATTTATTTCCATTTAAATTATCATAAGGATAATATTTGCTATTTAAATATAATTTTATATTTTCTAAATCGCAAAAGTCAAAGTGAGAACTGTTCTTATCTTTTTTGTCTTTACGAGCAGTTTGAAATGCTACAATAACATATCTGGGTTTGTCTATCATACTGGCTGTTTTCACTGTCCATGTTTGAAACTTTGTTGTGGGTAGCGAAGGATACTCATGAAGTTGCCACCTCCTGAATGCTATTTGCAGGAATTGGTCTGAATCAGTCATTTTTAATAAAGATAATTTTAACTCATCACCAACACGAATATATGGCATTTTCCAGATAATTTTACTTATAACAATTTTACAATCTTGCAGTGCAGGAGTAGTTTGAACAATTGCGTTTTTGTCTGTTGACGATCGCAATAAAACAAGTTCTTGTTTGACATTTAAAAGAATTTTGGTATAATCCTCGGCAAACCCGAGCAGTAATTTAAGTGGTACACAGAATGAAAAACTGGTTTTGTCATCTTGATTGTTAAGATTGGAAATATCCCAACCAACATTCTTCATCCAGTTGGCGTCTTCCGGACGAGCTGTAAGTATATTTTTCATAGTTGAAACAATACCCAAGTTTTTCACACGATCAATTTCAGTTCCACACAATTCATATCTTATTTCATCAAATAAAAATGCAGCTGCATTATTGACTAAATCGGTCGTTGTATCGTCCGTATTGTCTGCCGTCTTTACAACTTTTCCCTCAATCAACAAGAAGCTTTTACTTGGAAGGGTGTACACATCGGTTTGATGTACTGGAATGCGGATCTCGTCTCCGTTGAAATAGGAATTAGAATTATAAGGATTGTGTGAGTGCCACTCCCAGTCGGTGATGGACTCGTCGAAATTCACTTCATTTTTAACATCTAAAATATTACTCATTGTTGGGTTTTTTTCCTAAAAATGTCTAATGAACTCAAGAATATCCGATTTCTCAATGTTAACGGTTTGGATGTTTGTCTTTGACTGAAGGTCTTCTCCTTCAATCCCCCATTTGTATTTAGGCCGTTGTTATTTCTACGTGGAAATACAATACCCATTGTTTCGTTTCGGTCTAATATCGACTCTGATATTTATTCGTTCACCCCTAAAATTCACCAAATCTCCGTTTTGATCTTCTAATCTTATGTAAAATTCGTCTAAAGAGTGTTGTTTGGTTATAGGCAAATATTGTACTATATTCGGTTTTTCAACTATTTTATAACCGGGACTGACGTCAGGGTAAAACTCATGCAGCACGTGACCTTCAATTCCGTCTCTGTATGACCCTTTTACAATATTACAACATACTCGTATCACGTCAACTTTGTTAATGGTGACTTGATTGGACGAAATATGAGCTTTATTCGCCGCTAATTTATCTTTAGCAAATCCCAAAATGTCTCTGATTGTGTGTTCTTGATTAAAGTCAATCTCTTCTGAACAAGTTATCTCACTTTTTAATGTATTGTTATTTGCATTCAATTGAAACGTTGATTTGGGACTTATTACTTTTAACTCTTTTACAATGTAATTATTAATATCTTCAATTTCATAAGACCCTGTTGGAAGTGTTATCTTGATATTTTCACCTATATATATATCGCTGTTTACATTTTCTTCAATATTTGGTATGGAATTGTACGTCATCAGATCTAAAAATCCCATCTCCCATTCAGGGGCGGAACTTAAATCATAGGGAGGAAACAACATACATTTTAGATCGGAAGTGACACCCGTTAAACAGATCATGTTCTTGTGTTTAAAAAATCCAAACAAATATGTCCACAGTTTACGGTGTTCAATTTTTGTTTTGAAAAATAATTGTATTTAATTATAACGTGATGTGGTCCTGTATTGAAATAACGCACAAGCTCGAGCGGAGGCCGCAGATTGCCGTAGCTGTCAAAGTATTCCACTAGCAAGCCTCGCTTGGAATAACATACCCAGTGGGTGCCTCTGCCTGATATACTGTCTAGATTGACAACACCCGTCTCTTTGTCACCTATTGTTTCTGGCAAAAAATCTCTCATAAACACTCCTCTGAAATAGGGAATATTTAATTTGGTTGCAGTTTTAAGAATATCTCCCGCAGTTAATGGTTTATCTTTTAAATTATCAATTATCTTTGATGAATATTTTGTCATCGTTTTTTTTATTACTATATTGATAGCCTGATCCCTTATATGGCCTTAAATACAACCCTTTACCTTTTTTATTTTGATTTCTTTTTCTCTTTTTAATTGTATTTTTCTTCGTTTTTCTTTTGACAATGTTCTTTTTCTTTTTCTTTGTTACACAACCTCCACCCAATTTTGATTTTGCTTTCATAATATTAGTTACCATAAAGGCCGCTGTTTTTTCACCGATACTGGAGTCACTCGCTTTTACTCTCTGCCAAGCCCTCTCCGCTAATATTCTATCAGCTTTCCTTCTATTTTCGTTGTCACTGTATTTGGAATACGCTATATCGTGATCTTTGCAATATGAGTCTAATACATTTATACCAGGATCACCTCTTGCTAATCTCTTTTTTAAATTAGTTGATGGCCCGCAGTATTGATAACCAGGAATATGTAATTCCGTAGGCAATAGATCAATTGTTTTATTTACCACAGTGGCTGCTGCGTCACCGAGCCTACTTAATAGTCCACCGCCGCGCTGATGACTGAGCTTGCGCTCATACTGAACACTCATTTTGTCGGCAAGCTAGGAGCTCCACTTGACAACTGTCTCTGTAGTACCGCTTGCAGACCGTCTGTTAATACTTTCAATGACTGATTTGTTTGATTGCAATACAAATCAAACTGATGCTTTAAATCCAAAATATTGGTTTTAATATCTAATATTTCTTGATTTATAATATTGTTTTTAGTGTCAATAGTGGTTTTAACATCTCTTACCTCTCTTTCAATTACACCCACTTTACTATCCAAATCTTTTTTAATTATAACATCATTTCCATCTTTAGCAGAATTCACACCAACAATTCGCCTGGTGTGGTGTAAACTAACATAATTCTGTTTTACATTAAACACATCATTCAATTGCAGTATTTTTTTAAATTCGTTGAATTTTTTAGAAATCTCGGTTTGGAATTTTGACAATGTGTCAGAGAAAAACTCTAAATTAACAACATCTTTTGGTGCATTTGGACTGTTTACATTTGTCAGTTTCTTGTTTTGAATGTCAAAATCTAAATTTTCATTTAGTAAAAACCCCTCCCCTTTCGATCCCCTTAACAATTTAGCCTTTTTACCGCTAATTGTCAATTGAGAACGACCAAACTTGTCTATAGGCATGTTATCTCTGCAAAGGTTTAGAGTAGAATGGAGATTAAAACTCAATTTATTGAAATGATAAAATGTATTACTAACATATATATATAACTGATTAACAATATTGTTTTTTTACACCAGTTGTTTACTTAACTCAGCTTCCATTTCCTTCAGCTCTTCAATAATAGCATTTATCTCATTTTCATGACCTGTATGACCGGCTTGTTGAGATCCCAGTAAAATTCGTAACCTGTCGACAAGCTCATTCGGATCATCGTAGTAAACATAATTAGGCTTTGAATCCACCAACAATATTCCACTGCCACTGACATCTGGAAGTGTTTGACTTGCATACGTGTCCATCTGATCGTGAGCAGCCTTCGCATTTATTATTGGTGAAATTATTGATTTATATTTATATCCTCTATTGGATCTTATCTTTCCAATTGCAGAATAATCAACACGATATACGTTGGTATCCATCAAAATTTTTCCATAGTTATTTAAATCCACATCGTCATATGCATACTCATTAGGGTGATTCATGAAAACCAGTTCGTAAAGCCCTCGGGTCCCCTTGTATTTCCTGTCGCCCACAATTAAATCGTCTACGTCTATTTCAAGTTCTTTATCGCCAATTTTCCATTTGTCTCCATCCACACGTACTCCGAAATTATGATCAATTGTTTTGTTCCCACTAATTAATTTGGAAAAATATTCTTTGGACAATCTGCCTTTAAAATTTGAATCAATGTAATTTTTGGCAAGAGCCTTGCCTTGAGGTGTTCTTATCAAGGCTTCTCCGGACATTTCAGAAACATAATCTTTCTCAGGGGCCACTACCTGCGGAGTCATCTGTTGTTCTTCTTCACCTTGAATATCCATTTCCGATCCTTCAGGAAGTGGTTCTTCCATGTCAATATTTACTACTTCCGGTGGAACAGCCAATCGTTTCTGAGGTTGATTAAAAATATTGTCACCTTCATCGCTTTCGGAATCGCTGTTGTAATTTGCTTTATGACGAGCATTTATCCGCTTTTTCCTTTTCACACCCTGAGACGGATTTAGGATATGTCGTTTAACTGGAGTAACTAAATCATCTTCCTCATTGTTAAATTCCAATTTTCTTTTGCTTTTCTTAGTCTCCACGGGTTCAACAGTTTCCTCATTATTGACTATACCCACTTCCTCTACCAATTGTTTTAGAGGATCCGCTATCGGTTTAAACGTCTTTTCCAGCATTTCCTCTCCCTCTAGAATATTCTGCTTCAAAGTCCTGTGTTTTCTTTTAATATTCTTACGCAATTCACTTATTTGCTTGATCACCTCCTCTTTAGTCTTATTTTCAAACCACGACTCGTTAT